CATCCCAAAAACAGGGCGTACATCTTGTCATGTATAAGAGTCTTCTGCAAGCAGAGGATTTATCTTCAGATCGATGTGGGACGCTTGTTTAAAGTGAGAATGTTTATTACTTTAATTCATGAGCTCCTAAAATAATCAAGACTGGAATAGTAGCCTCCCCCCAATGGTACTATAATACCATTAACCTGCTTACAACATGATTCCTTTAGTAGAGATATTCTGGTGGTATAAGAAAATTAAAATCTGATGTCACATGACTAAAGCAGAAGATAAATAGACGGAGCCCGGAGATGGAAATCTAAACCTGATTAGTTGGTGGTGGAGGGGGCGGAGCAGGAGGACAGGAAGACGCTGCTTCACGTCAGTCTGGTTCAATCATTGTTTGAAATCGCTCTGAGTTTTAGAGGTGACCTTTGACATTCAGAGTGTTTTGTTTTTTTTACCTTTCTCTTGTGTCTAACATTACATCAGAACATTAACCAAATGAGATCCCTGAACAGCCGGGAGCGGCCGTCCTTATCTCTGGATGCACGCTGAGACAAGGTGACTGGATCTAGACGGCTGCTACGCTTCCTGCAAGCAGAACACAGTAATCCAATCATATCGCTTTTTCGTATTCCTGGGTCTGACATGATGACCAGCGCCTGAACTAGACGTGACTCCCTCTGAAACAGCCAGCAGCGAAATGATGGTGTGTTTCTGGGATTACGTGTTGGAGAGACGGCTCTATTTAATGTGGCCTTGCCGCTCACGCTGAGTGGAGTCCAATACTTCTCTCTCTACCTGACCTTCACTCTGCCGCGCTCTGATGAAAGTGGGTCGTCAGACATCTGGGAGACCCATCATTGTGTTCTCATGGTGACAAAAAGATATGTGGCTTTAAGTAATTACCTCTCCGCTGTCGTCTTGCTACAAATCAATCTCTAGCAAAGGCCAGGCTGCATTTCTTTTTGTTCTTGGGGACATGAACTTCACAGTACAGAGTCAATGGATGGAGCTTTTAGAACCACTTTAATGATACAAGTCTTGGTGATCCAGCTCCAACATGCATGCATCCCAGCACCAATAAACCCACCATTGTTAGGACACGTCTACTTTCCCCAACCAAGGATGCAGAGCTGTGTGGTGATGGGAAGAGGGGAGTTGGTTCTCCAACATTCTCATTTTAAAAAAAGCGTTAAATGGCTTATCTAAGATTCCAAACAAACAATAAAAATGAATGTGCAAGTGGTGGGCGGGTTGAAAAGATGCAGGCAGAGTAGGACAGAAGGAGCCTTCTCCAACTGGTAAAGCTGGGCATACACTGGCAATTTTTTTCCATCGTTGTACTTAGCTAAAGCTCAAACTATACGACGAAACCGCTGGGTTTAAAAGTTCACAGCTCTCAATGCTTGTTCTCACACTGCAGCCCGACGCTCTGATGCGACCTAATGACGCCTAACTGAATTTCAAATATGCTTGATTTTCTCCCAACTTTACGATTCCTGATGGGGAGGTGGTCCCCCTGTACAGCTACACGAT